ACACACACACACACACACACACACACACACACCAAATCTTCTTTATCCATTCCTCTGTTGATGGACATTTAGGTTGCTTCCGTGTCTTGGCTATTGTAAACAGTGCTGCAGTGAACACTGCAGTGCACATATCCTTTTGGACCATGTTTTTCTCCGGGTATCCTGTTCAAGACCTATTACGTGCGTGACTGCGTCTCCAAATTGCCATTGAGTATGTTTTGTGTTGTCAGGTTAAAAAAAACTACCCCCCCATGGAATGTTAAGCTGACACTCGGGATAGCCAGAGCCTCTTCAAATTCATTATCCTACCCTTCCCTGGTTGGACCAAAAAATAACCAACGAACAATTTCACCTCTTCAGAAAGCGATTATACTCCAGAAATGGGGTGAGGTGGGATTTCCTTCTTAAGCATGTTTCCAGAGCTACTGCGAAGCTTGAATTCCCCAAGTAGTCGATAAAAACACTCCTCGGGATGTACAAGAAGGGAGACAGGGACCAGTGACTGATGGTATGTTCACTTCTTAACACTTGAGAGGTTTTTTGGTTTTCGATGGGCTTCTCGGTTACCAGAGATGCACTCTCCGATTATTTCACAATTTGATACTTTTCCTGGATGAGTCAGCTCTCTTTTCTGAGACAAGGGAGCTCAAGGAGAATGAGTAAAATAGTTAAATTAAGCAGACTAAGGAGGTGACATCAGTGATTGTCCTGGCTCACAAAAGGCAGTGCTTTCTCATGGCTTGTTCTCCAGACAGTAAAGCTTTCTTTGAGATAGTCATAACTGATTAATCACGGGTGTGATTCATGGCCTTTGAAATATGATACTGGGCTTAACACATTCTTCCTCCTTTGGTTTTGATCTCTGGGTGTCGCGATTTTCCACATCAGTCCAGCTCAACATCTGAGCTCCCCCGGCCGACCCTTTTCCTGTGGCCCTTGATGTCCGGCGTCGATGCTGTCCTTAGACCTTCCCTCCCAGTGTCTAGAGCGCTTGCTTACATTAGTGTTCTCTGCCCCGTGTTGGTTTGAGCCCTTGTTTCTGTCCAGTACAAAGACAGGACCCGCTGCCTTCTGTTCTCGGGCAGAAGAAATTCTTTTCGCGTCAACCTCCCAGATGAAGCTGCCAGATGCATTTGCTGGAATAAGAAGGTCGCTCCCCTGCTTCCGTGCTGGCCTTCTGGGGCCCCCACTGCCTCCAGGATATCATGCCAGATTCCGACTCAAGGTCAAGTTCCTCATCTTCCTCTTTCTGCCCTTATCTTCAAACGCTCCCCAGCCAGAGCTCTGCGCTGGGCCAGGCTGACATTCCTCAGACCGGCCGGCTTCCTGCCTCTGCCCCATCTTCACATCCAGACCCCCCTGTGGAATGTCCGCCCCCATCCATGCCACCCCTTTCAAGTTGCTCTTCGTGGGCCTCTCTCTTCGTGAAATCTTTCATCTCCAGCCCCGAGGCCAAGCGAGCCTGGCCCCTCGCGCCCCTGCTGCCCTGATGTGGTTCCTTCCCACGGGAGTCCCGGCTCCCAGGAGAATCAAGGTTCTCCGGCCTCCGTGGATGTCATCCTTGATCATCTGTAACATCCGTTGGATGAAATACAAAAACTTTGTTCCAATGAGACTTCCATTGACTGTTTTTTTCCCCCGCTGCTGTTTCCAGAAAAAATGTTTCTATAAGAACAGCAAGGAAATCTGCACATTTGGGGACACTTAAGTCTTAATTGAGGCCCTAAACAGGAGTTTTCCAATGCCCGTGAAAACTCAGAGCAGAATATTTGTCCTGGCATGTGAACCTGGGACTTTGCTTCTGCCAGTGGCACACGGACAGGCATCGTGGGTGTGGAGTCATTTGTTCTTGTGTGCCTGTCTCTTTGTAAAGGGACTTTTTTTCTGAGCTACAGCGAGCGACACTGAGAACTTTGCCTGGTGGCTCTAGGCCAGGACTGCCCTGTTTGTGGCTCCCGAGTGCTGTAGATGTCAGGCAGTTCCCTCTGCTAGTGGCAGTGCCAAGCGCTCTCTTGACTATAAGGCAGGGGACGGTGACAAAACGATCCTGAGTGTCTGTGATGGGTGGTACACTGTACAGTGCTGGCAGGCAGAGTCAGTAAGTATCCTGTGAGACTAGAGCCAACGTCAGGTTTGCTGTCTACCAAGTTCAAGCCTAGTTAATTCTTCCTAATGGGAGAAGTTTGATGGGGTCAAGAGTACAGACTGGAGGTTTTCAAAACGTCTTCTTTTGCAACTGTTTTCTCCACGAGCACAATAAACGTCAAACAGACGGTTTCTCTTGGCGAGGAAGCCAGGCGGGGAGAATTCCCCAGCTTCTGTGTCTCCCAAGCCCAGAGCCGTCTTTGCTGGGAATGTAGGAAGAGTGTGGTTGGGACGGCGCAGGTGGACGCTTCGGAGTGCGGTCTTCACTGGTGCAGGAGGAGCTTGGGAAGTCTTTGCAGATGAGGGGAAGCAACACAATGTCATCAGACTTGGATGCCAGCGCTTGGAGACAGTCTCTCAGAACTTGTGCCTCCAGGGGTTTGTGGGAACGAGACTGAAAAACCCACCAGGTCATGGCTGAGTCACACGGGTTGCCTCCAGGACGTGCTGCCTTGGAAACCTGTCCTAAGGCCCTTGCAAGCTCCTTGGTCACAGTGGTCCTGCTTGAAGGGTTTTCCTGTGAAGCTGAAATTCAGAGAGGAGTCATCTCAAGAAGAGGGACGCACGTACTGGCGCTACCCTCGCTTCTCGCCAGCTCTGCACGTTTGCTTGTTTGGGCTTTTGTGACTCTCACCCCCTCTTTGTTCACTTCCTGCACCTTCACCCACCCATCTTCTTCCAGATTTCTCCGTGTTGGGGCCCCAGGGTTCTGTCCTCAGCTCTCGGTGGGTGTGTTTTCTGAGTAGGAGGCCTCCATCCCCATCCCTCCAGTTTTTAAATTCCTTCCGCTGCTGGTCACCCCGTGAGCGGGCCCCCCCTCCAAGGGTACCCTCCCCTCCCCTCAGCCAGCAGCCCACCGACCCTCCGCCTGGACGGCCCCTTGGCCTCCCACCCGGGGCGTGCCAAAACGGAAAGTCTTTGGTGCTTTCCAAAGAGTCCTGGGGACTTGTTTGCTTTTTCGGGAGGCTCACAGGACACACTTCTGTGTTGCAGATTGAAGAAGGAAGCAAAGCCGCGGCAGTGGACAAGTTGCTGGCCGGAGATGAGATCGTTGGTATCAACGACATCAGTCTGTCGGGGTTCAGACAGGAAGCGATTTGCCTGGTGAAGGGGTCGCATAAGACCCTGAAGCTGGTGGTAAAAAGGTAAGACCTGGGCCTCGTGCCTTGTTTACAGAGATGAGTGGGACAGTGAAACCTGGAGTCTGTTGGCTGCGCCGTGTCACTGTGGCAATCGTGATTTGGACTTAGGTCGCGTGCGCGCGCGTGTGTGTACGTGTACATGCATGTACACTTAGGAATCTATCTCTTGGCCAAGGATGAATCCAACATCAAAAATTTTAAAGATTCTTTCTTTTTTTTTTTCGGTACGCGGGCCTCTCACTGTTGTGGCCTCTCCCGTTGCGGAGCACAGGCTCCGGACGCGCAGGCTCAGCGGCCATGGCTCACGGGCCCAGCCGCTCCGCGGCATGTGGGATCCTCCCGGACCGGGGCACGAACCCGTGTCCCCTGCATTGGCAGGCGGACTCTCAACCACTGCGCCACCAGGGAAGCCCTCTTTCTTTTTTTAAAATTAATTTTTATTGGAGTATAGTTGATTTACAATGTTGTGTTAGTTTCTGCTATACAGCAAAATGAATCAGCTATACATATACAGATGTCCACTCTTTTTTAGATTCTATTCCCATGTAGGTCATTACAAAGTTTTTTTTTTTTTTTTTTTTCCCAATAGTTATGTATCTTGGCTGCACTGGGTCTTAGTTGTGGCACTCAGGGTCTTCATTGCAGCATGTGGCATCTTTAGTTGGGGCATGTGGACTTGTAGTTGTGGCGTGCAGCCAGAGATCGAACCCAGGCCCCCTGCATTGGGAGCGTGCAGTCTTGCCCACTGGACCACCAGGGAAGTCCCTACAAAGCATCGAGTACAGTTCCCTGTGCTATACAGTAGGTTCTTAAAAGATTTCTTCGTTTATTACTGTTGACTGTTAATTTTGATTTAAGTGATTTTGAATACTTAAATCTTATTCTTGGCAACCTGTAGGTGATTTTCTGGCAGTGAGGAAACTGCTTATGCTCCAAATGATGAAATGTCATTGCCTGTGTTTTACACAAGGTGGCAGGCTACCAGGTTTTGGGGTTTTATGCTAAAATAATGTGATGCATATAGACTTACAGGTCAGCTAGCAGGTGTTTCCAGTGCTGTGCTGAGGTCTGAGGGGAGCAAGTGCGTATTCCAAGAAAGGAGATTGTGGATAGGAGTTGGGATGATTTGAAGGGGTCAGAAAGTGAAGTTGGGCACATGGTGCTTTTATACACAGGCACTAGAATGGTACTACTGGGCAGCATGGAGGTGTTTTGTGACTTTTTTTTTTTTTTTTTTTGCCACGCTGCACAGCTTGTGGGAATCTTATTTCCCCAACCAGGGACCAGGAATCGAACCTGTGCCCCGTGAAGCGGAAGTGCTGAGTCTTAACCACTGGACCGCCAGGGAATTCCGGTGACTGGTTTCATATAGAAATAATTCTCGACCTTGTGTTCTACAGTTGGCTAATTCATAGTAAAGTGTTGACGTGCCCCTTTTAGCAGAATTAGTGCAGTCTTTCCAAGGTTGGCTGTAAATTTTATTTTACTTTTTAAAAATTTATTTATTGTTTATTTTTGGTTGCATTGGGTCTTCGTTGCTGTGTGCGGGCTTTTCTCTAGTTGCGGCGAGCAGGGGCTACTCTTCATTGCGGTGCGTGGGCTTCTCACTGTGGTGGCTTCTCTTGCTGCGGAGCACAGACCCTAGGCGCGCGGGCTTCAGTAGTTGTGGCACACAGACTTCAGCAGTTGTGGCTCATGGGCTCTAGAGCACAGACTCAGTAGCTGTGGCACACAGGCTTAGTTGCTCCGTGGCATGTGGGATCTTCCCGGACCAGGGCTCGAGCCCGTGTCCCCTGCATTGGCAGGCGGATTCTTAACCACTGTGCCACTAGGGAAGCCTGGCTGTATATTTTAAAAAGTAAATTGACTCAAGGCCTTCAGTTTTTAGTACAGACTTGAAGACATATCCCTGTGGACTTTTTATGTATTTATTTTGGGGGGACCAAAATAGCATCCAAGGAGGAGGTTCAGAAACAAAGAAGTAAAAAATTTCATTCTTTGCCACATTAATGTAGCAGCCTCATTTCTCAGTGGAATAGGCTGTCCTCCTTGTAAATCAGAAAACTGAAGTCTCAGAATGGCCATTTTGGAGCCTTCTGGGGGGAGCAAGGGACAGGACGGGTGCCATCATGGTGTATGATTTCTTTGAGGTCGCCTTATTAAGCCTCCTAAGACAGGACGTGTGAAGTTCTCGCAGGATTCCTTTAGACTTGGTGGGGCGCTGGTGATGGTGAGGGACACTTGACCCACACAGGGGAGACAGTGGTTATAAACCACCACCTGAAATGTCTCCTTTGTGGGGCTGCCCGAGCCCCCAGAACACACAGATGGCTCGTTGGCTTACTGTCCGTCTCCCGCCACGGGGAGAACACACCAGCTTAGTTGACACGGTGAGCAAACCGTCTCGCCAGTTTGCGGCTCCTTACCGCAGTGCCCGATACACAAGGGCAAATGAAGGGCTTGGACTTACTGAATCGAATTGATTTGAACTGCACCGGGACGGGCATCATTGGAGGGCCCCCTGGGGATGCTGACATTGAGGTGCTCATTCAGTAAAACCTGTCAGTGTGACATCGGCCAGCCCAGGGGAGGCAGCAGCGAATAAAACCGAGCCAGTGATACATCCTGGGGGACGGAATCAGGATGCAGGAATATTTTCACCGGTTGCGTCTCACGAGGTAAAAATGAAATGCTGGTCAATGTCAGATCTTATTCTAGGGTCCCCCCCCAAAAAAAAGCAGGTGTAATAAAGTTGGTGGAGTAACAACAGCTGTAAAGAAGGGAATTTGCACCCCAGTAGAAAGTTGGATGAAAGACGCTCATAGGCAGTTCCTAATATGAGAAATGCGCATAGGAAACAAGTGTTTAAAAAGACGTTTAACGAGGGGTCGACAAGTTTACTTACAGCTGGCCGGGATCTAATGGGATAGCAATGCCCATTGGTGCTGAGATGTAGGGAAAGGGAAACAAGATTTGATGTAATGCTGATGAGACTTTCTGGTAAGTGGTTTGGCAACATGTGTCAAAAGGCCTGTTTGGGACTCAGAATTTCATTTCTTGGATCCTAGATATTCAGCAAAAGGAAATGACTGAAGTGAATTAGGGACCATCCATACTGCAGAGTGCTGCCATTTTAAATGGTGTCAGCCAAATGAACTTATCTACGAAACAGAAACAGACTCCCAGACACAGAGCACAGACTGGTGGTTGCCAAAGGAGGGTGGGGGGTGGAGGAGGGATGCATTGGGAGGTTGGGATTAGCAGATGCAAACTATTATATATAGAATGGGTAAACAACAAGGTCCTACTGTAGAGCCCAGGGAACTCTAGTCAGCATCCTGTGACAGACCGTAATGGAATAGAATATGAAAAAATATATATGTGTGTGTGTATAACTGAGTCTCTGCTGTACAGCAGAAATTAGCACATTATAAATCTATACGTCAATAAAAGTTTTTAAAAAGAATACAGGTGCTACTACAAAATTAAAAACTGGTGTCAGTAGGCTTCCCTGGTGGCACAGTGGTTAAGAATCCGCCTGTCAGTGCAAGGGACACGGGTTCGAGCCTTGGTCCGGGAAGAATCCCACATGCCGCGGAGCAACTAAGCCCGTGCACCACAGCTACTGAGCCTGTGTGCTAGAGCCCGCGAGCCACGACTACTGAAGCCTGCATGCCTAGAGCCCGTGCTTTGCAACGGGAGAGGCCACTGCAATGAGAAGCCCGCGCACCGCAGAGGGGACTGAGAAAGCCCGTGCGCAGCGACGAACACCCAACACAGCCAAAAATAAATAAATAAAAAAAATTTATGAGGAAAAAATGGTGTCAGTATTTCGTGACATGGAAAGATGCTCCTCAAAGTCCAGTTGAGTGGAACACATACAAGCAGTTATAGAACTGTATCAGCCCCATGAAGAAAAGTTTTAATTTTTAATTGTGGTAAAATACACATAACAAAACTTACCATCTTATCCATTAAGTGCACAGTCTAAGTGTATTACTTCTCTGATGATAAAAATGGCGAGCTCGTTGCACTTTTTTTTTTTTTTTTTTTTCGGTTCTCGGGCCTCTCACCTCTCACTGTTGTGGCCTCTCCCGTTGCGGAGCACAGGCTCCGGACGCGCAGGCTCAGCGGCCATGGCTCACGGGCCCAGCTGCTCCGCAGCATGTGGGATCTTCCCGGACCGGGGCACGAACCCGTGTCCCCTGCATCGGCAGGCGGACTCCCAACCACTGCGCCACCAGGGAAGCCCTCGTTGCACTTTTAAAGAGGAGAGGCCTTTGGGGTTCCGTGTGATGTGTTCACAGGACTCAGCAGGAGGTTTGGTCCCCAGGAAGCTGTCAGCTGTGCTCTGTTCTGGGCGGTGCCCCCAGGAGGCTCTGTTTATTGCTCTGTGATCAAGACAGGATCACCCTAAGGGGTGGGTGTTGGAATGCCGGCTACAGTTACTCCAAGAGTGACTTTTTATTCCGCATTTATGAGTACTCAGAGTAACCCGTGGCTGTGGCAACATTCACTTTGGAAGGGGAACTGGGTGGGATACATCAGCTTTTCTCCCAACCCCTCTCATTCTCCCATTTTGCCGCTCCAGAGAGTGGCCGTGTCAGTACTAATCTCTTAGGTTTCCTTTTAGAAACACGTACCTACTTATGTGTTATACATGAAAATGGGGGTTGGTCCAGGTTGAGTGCTCTGAGTCGAGATTTCTCCTGACCCCATGCGGCTCCATGGTCTGGATACTCTGCTGTGTGTCTGGCAGGTCCTCTGTGTGTGGACATTTATGGTGCTTCCGGTGTACAGCAGACAGTGCTGCGGTGTGATGCTTTTGTACCCGGGACCGCATACATGTGCGTATAGGCCGTCCTGATCCATTCCTAGCGTGGGAGGTTTTGAGGCAGAAAGTACCGTGCATCGTGAAGTTTGTTTTTGTTGGCTTTGTGGATGTGATAGGTGACAGAGGCTTTTAATGTTTAAATGGGCATTTCTGTCATTATGACCGAGGT